AAGCATCATGCTATATGTGTATGTACACATATATTTTTGGTTTTGTTTTTTGCAATTTACCCATTGCACATTATGCTACACCTTTGCAATATATCAACATATATTTGGCTCATTAAATTGAACTGCTGTGGAATTTTCCATCATGCGAGTATACCGTAATGTATTCCTGTTCACGGGTATTAGGATTGTTTCCATTTATTTTCCATTGCATACAGTGTTAGAATTAATCTTTCAGTACATGTCTCCTTGTGCCCAGTGCAAGAAATTCTGTAGGGTTCTACCTAGAAATTGTTAAGTGGAAATAATACATGTTTCCAACTTTTCTAATTATTGTCAGCTGTTCTCGAAAGAGGTGACATCAGTTTACAGCTCTCACCAACACTGACAGTGAATTTGTCCCTACACTGGCCAGATGCCAACAACAAAACAAAACAAAAATAAAGAAAGCAAGTTGCTGTCTTCCCACTTTCTTTTCAACCCCCAGTATTACCAGACTTCTTTATTTTTGCCAATCTGATGTGTGTGAAAGGCAATGCTATTGTGGTTTTAATCTGTTTTCTCCTGCCTTTTTGTAGGGTGGGCATTTTTCATATTCATATTTTTTCATTTATATATATTTTTTGACCATTCACATTTCCTCTTCTCCGAATTACATGTTCAATCCTTTGCCCATCTTTCAGCTGGATAATTTTGCCTTTTTTTTCTCAAATTAAAAAAAATTGACCTGTAAGAGTTTTGTTGTTGTTGTTGTTTTGAATACAAGTCCTCGGACTATATATACATTGCAAATATTTTCTTCCAGGTAGTTCTTTTAGTTTTTGTGTCTTTTGCTATGCAAAGGTTTTTTAAAAAATATTTTTATGTATGTCTTTTGCTAAGAGTCCGAGGCTCTTAATATTAATGAAGTAATATTAATCAGCCTTTTTTCTTATGTCTTGTGTAATTAGTCCTATTCCTCTCTCTAAATAGTAAAGATATTTATCTATATCTCCTTCTAGATTTTTTCACATTTAGGTCTTTAATCAATTTGGAATTTATTTTTGTGTATGGTGTGAAGTAGGGGTCTGATGATTTTCTAATTGGAAACCCAGTCATTCCAACATTATATACTGAAGAGTTCATCTTTTCCTCGCTAATTTCTTATGTCAGCTCTATTACATACAAAGCATTAATAATGGCTTGGATATATATTTTGGGTCTATTTTGTTCCATGAGTTTCTTAACTCTGCTCCAGGACCCCACTGCCTTAATCACTGTAACTTTATAGAATGCCATGATATCTAGTAGGGCAAGTCCCTCCTACTTACTCAACTTTTCAAAATTGTTCATCTGAATTTTAAGATTATCTTCTCCAGTTCTACTTTTTAAAAACCAACACTGTTGACATTTTAATTAGATTTGCATTACATTTATAAATTAATTTGGGAATTAGTGCCAATTTTATAATATAGCATTTCCTATCCATGAATATGGTATATCTCACCATTTGTCTACAGCTTTTAAAATTCCCTCCACAAATGATTTTTATACCTCTCCAAAAATATTTTGCATATCTTGTAGATTTGTTACCAGATACCTTTATTTTTCTATTGTAAATGGAATTTCTAAAAATTATATCTTCCTAATTATTGTTCCTGCTGTACAATATTGCTATTGATTTTCTGATATGAATTTATACCCAGCAATCTTGCTAAATTCTCATACTGATGTTAACAGCTGTCTGGAATGTCTGAAATTTCCATTAGACAATCATATCATCTGCAGATAATCTGTTTCCTCTTTCTTTCTTTCTTTCTTGCCTTATTGCATTGACTACGACCTTCACACAATGTTGACTAGAAGTGGTGATAACAGGGATCCTTATTTGGCTCCTGACTTGACTGTGGACAAGTTCACAGAAAAGATTATTAAATGTTAACAATAAATTTCAGGGATAAATCTTCTTGCCTTATTGCATTGACTACGACCTTCACACAATGTTGACTAGAAGTGGTGATAACAGGGATCCTTATTTGGCTCCTGACTTTACTGTGGACAAGTTCACAGAAAAGATTATTAAATGTTAACAATAAATTTCAGGGATAAATCTGATTATCCCTGAATGATATATTGTTATTATTACTATTAAGCTCTGAGGTATTCGATTTGCTCATGTTTTGTTTAGGATTTTAGTGTGCATGTTCTTAACTGAGACTGGTCTGTAAGTTTCCTTTCTGTACTATTATTGCTCAGTTTTGCTATCAGGGGTCATGTGGTAGCACTATTAGTTGTCTTCCCAGCAGTCACCCTCTGTTCCCTCCCTGTATCTTATAAGCAGATTGTGCCCCTCTTGAATAGGAAAAAGAGCCCTTGAACATCTTTCTCTTTTTATCAGGGAGGAAAATCTTAAGCCTCATTGGTCAGAACTAGAGTCACATGGACATTCCTCGCCGCAAAAGTGGCTGGGAAGGTGAGTATCTGACATTTCAATCTATTTTACCATAAAATTTTATGTTTTCTATTTACTGTGCTTTTTATAGGCTTCTCTTTTTTATTCCCCTGCATTCTGTGGATTGACCAAGTTTGCTCTTATAAGTCATATATTGTTTTATTATTCCTTCAGAGGTTACTTTACATTTTGGATATGCACACTTGTCTTAAAAGATCTAAAACAATCAACTTCTCTCTTCAATTCCCAAACAATATTAGCACATTAGAGTGTTTTTTACTATAATTACTACCCTCCCATCTTCTGTGTTATTGTTGTCTATTATTTAGATTTCAGGAATACACCCCAATTAATCATTACTAGTGTTTTTAAAACATTCTATGCTCATTCAGATTTGCCCAGATGTTTACCAATTTCTTTGTTTATTAGGACTCCTAGATAATCCCCTCCTTCTTTCTGGGCTGTTTCCTCTTTCTTAAAGCACATCCATTAGCAGTTCTTTCAATGTGAGTCTCTGAGCAGTAACCTCTCTCAGCCCTTGGTTGTCAAAAACAATTTTAAAGCCTGATCTTCAGATCCAACTCCACATTTATGTGGGTCCCAGGCCACATTTCCTGTCCCCGTATGGGCACGACACCTTCTGCCCCTAGATGTCAGGGCCTACGCTCAATTTTGATGGCTTCCCTAGTACGAGCTGGTCTGCTTTCCACTGGTTTGAGTTCCGTTCTTTATTTCTAGCACGTGAGGAGTTCCCTTTGTTTTGAGCTCAGCTTTATATTGTTATATTTCATCCTGTGTTTGTCATATAAAGTGAGGGAGGGTCCACATTAATCTTTTTAGTTACTATTAGTGGAAGTCCACATATTCTATTTATAACAAATTTCCCTCTTCGTAATGTGTATTACTCTCTTTTAAAATAAATATCATATAAATATAATAAGATAAAACAAACATGAGAGACAGCTGGATACTTCTTATTCTGTTTCAGCAAAAGTTATAAAGTTTCTAAAATTCTTTTTGATTTTGGTACATAGGGAACATTCCCCAGGCAATAACATGGGAGAATGCAATCGTCTGCCAAGAAGTGGAATTTTCCATAGGCTTCTATTTTCCTGTTTCTCCCTCACTTCTCTTTGCTCTACAGAGATGATCCCTGAGGAGAAACCTGCTCAATATTTGATTTACACCCTCCACACTAAGAATTCCAAAGCAGCACATCAAGAGACCTGTCTCTGTAAGGAAGCCAACCCCGGGCCAGACCCAGAGCTTAGTCACCCCTGCAAATCAACAGCTAGCTGAAGGTTGAACTGGTTCCAAATCCTGGGAATTCACAGCTACTAATAGATCAATGGGATCGGTCTTATTTGCATTTAATCATGACTCAGGAATTCCCTGGTACTGCATCCTTGGGCAGATTAAAAAGCATTGGTTTAATCAGCCCAAGGCCTTCACTGTCAGGATACTGGCCTTGGAAACTTCCATACACCCCAGTAACAGGACCCAAAGCTTCCCATCAAGAGAGAGTCCACTTCAGCCTGCCGGGAATAGAGCCAATATGAGAACAGTGGAATCCAAATATGGATCCTCTCAGAATTGTCTGACCACATCCGAGGCCCTGAGAATGGATAAATATTCTCAGGTGTCCATGGATGAGCTGGGGCAATGTCCAGCTAGTATGTTGGAAACGGTTTCTGAATAATCACATACAGGCCAATCGGGGAGGCCAAGGTAGGGCTAAAAGTATTCATGGAAAGGCTAATATAAGAGTGGTTTGCTGGAGCAGACAGTTAATTTCAATAAAATGTATTTCGTATGACATCTAACTACAAATATCCTGACCCAGAAAAGAAATTAGGGAAGATGGGCTGAATGGGGACAGAGGGTGGGGAGAAGATCAGAAAAGCCCTAATAATTAATTATGCCATTTGTTAGTGGTAAGAAAGTAGCAAGAGATTAAAGAATATACTCTCATTTTCAAAAGCGGAAGTGGTGGTCTTGATTGGTGCTGGTTTGTAATCTTCATTGCTTTACGCTTCCACAAGGAGAGCGACAGCCTCTACCATGGGAGGAATGGGTCCACTTGAGACATGGAAGCCTCCTTCGCCATCGCATAGCACTTTGGTCACAGGTAATTGTTCATTTTGTTATTTCCCTTTGCAGAAACCTGAGGGGTCACTTGGCAGCAAGTAGAAATGTTACTAAGTCAAGACCCAGAGGCACACGTCTCTACAATTTATAGACAGAGCCATTTCTTTCCTACAGCTAACACTGAAGAAGGGAGAAGACAAAGGCCTTGAATTCTTAAGATCAGATTCCATCCTAACATGTCATCAAAGTCGAGGCAGAGGTAAGACGAACGTTCCTCCTAATGACAATGCAGTTGACGACCATTTTGCAGAATGCAAGGTGGATTTTCTGTTTTGGAAGCAACGAGACTGGTAGTTGTACAGGGTGGATGTAACAACTTTCCAAGTGGCTGTTTCATCCCAAACACTCACTACGTCTACCTCGGTCGCACCACGGGCTCAGGTAGGAGGGGGCGCCCATGGGGCACGCGGCTGCCAGGACTCACCTGTTGAGATACACCCGCTTCTCGGTGAACTGCCCGTTGCCGTGGTGAGGGTCCTCGAAGGGCTCGTTCTGGACGACCTCCACCCCTTCTCCCCGGTCGCTCTGCTCGTGGCTGTGCTTGCTGATCATGTACAGCTGTCCGATTTTGTACTACAAAACACACAGACACAGGGACAGAGAGGTCAGCCCCACAGCTTGCCCGTGACACTCCCCTTCCCCAACCGCATCGCAGGCAGCAACCAATAACATCAGCACTTTCTGCTGAGAAAAGAAAGCAGCCGCAGGAGCCCGACGCCACTGTCCCTTGGGAGCCAGGAAGAGAGCTGGTGTGAGGGGCAGGGGAGCGGCGTGCTCCTGCCAACGTTCTGCGCCACCTGGGCACGCGCTTGCCGGGGCGCCTGGCGGGCTCTAGGTTTGGCAGCCGACCAACCCCCTGGGCAGTGGCGGGGAAGGGGGAGAACTGGAGTCTCCCTTTTCTTTCTGACCATACAGGGTTAAATGGAACTAAAGTCCTACTTGGCTTGGCCTAAGAGAGCCCCTGGTGTGTTATTTCTGTCCCTGCTTTCTGCCTAATTAGCAGCTTTGCTGGGCACAGAGGATTCGATATCACCTGTTTCTTCCATCCCCTCCCTCAAAATGCTCAACTCTCCTGGAGGCCTCTGACCCCTGGAACAGCAGTTCTCAAAGGTGCCTGGACACTAGAACCACCCGGAAGCTTTTTAAAGCTCTAGATGCCCAGGCCCTGCCACGACTGGAGCCAAGGCTAAGAACCCTCTGTGTTCCAGAAGCCTGGTTCATCCTGAGGACCATCTACGGTATCTTTAACTCCTTTCCATCCAAATTCCACTTACAGTGTGGAGCCTTCCAGACCCAGGTCCCAAAAGCCACATGCTTTACACTAAAATGATAAAATGGGCAACATACAATATGAACATTTTTTGTCCTTTCTTCATTTTCGAGCTGTTCCACTCTCCTTCCTGCGTCTCTGAAAACCCTGGGGCCAGCTGGCATTTCTTCCCCTAGTGAACTTTCAAAGTGGCAAAACTAATTTGATAGAGATAGAATAGAGAGAAGGGAGTAAAACAACTTTTGCACAAGGAACGAGTCTGCTGGGAGTCAGGGGGCAAAACAGTGTGACCCTGCTGTGGTCCTTCCCACATATTTGGTGTGAACCAACACAGACACAGTGTCACTGAGGCCTCTGGGGTGGAGGAAAGAGACCTGGGTCTGCAGCAAGCTAATGACAATTCTGGGTTGCTCCCAAAAGAGCCCAGGTCATCAGGGATGCAGGTCCCCTATCTACATGCATAAGAGAGGGAAATATATTTTAAATTAAGGGGGCAAGTGAAATGTATGTCAACAGTGCAGTCAGTTCCAAAGCTGAGAGGACACACATGTCCAAGGGTCCCTCTTTCATTCCGAGGCAGGTGCCCGGAGGGAGTGTGAAGAAGCTCTGAAAGGCTCTGTCTGCGGCCAGCCTGAGGGACTAGGCCCAGTAACCATGACAATGGGAGCGAGCAGCTGGCTGGGTCTTCTCAAGAGGCTGTGCCTCCTATCTGTGCCACACCCCTCTCCAGACTGTCTGTATTTAAAATGCTTTTAATGTGAGTGTGAGTTTGTGTGTGTGTGTGTGTGTGTGTGTGTATCTGTGCGTGCAGGCACATGCACACGCATACTTGGGGGGAGAGGGGAATGCTGGGGATGAGAGGAAGAGGAAAGAGGAAGCTCAAAGATAAAATCAATTTTAAAAACAAATTTAGGCTCAGAAGCTTGACCTGGCTGCCTCAGTCCAAGGCTGCTTTTACTTTTGCTGATAAAGACTAACTAACACTCTTTCAAGGAGAAGACAGGATGAAAGTCTACAGACTGGAGATCAGTCTACACCTGTGACATCAACGCTGCACCTTGCACAGATGGCCCCACAAGCCCGTAGCAGGGTACTCAGCTGCCCAGCGGGTGGAGATTTCCCTGGTAGCTGCTTTGTACTTGGTGCTCGAGAGATAAATGTTTACATACACTGGAATGTTATTCAGCCATAAAAAGGAACAGACTACTGACACTGAAATTGCTTAATGGACGTTATGGGTCAAATTGTGTTTCCCCAAAATTCACATGGTGAGGTCCTATCCCTCAGTACCTCAGAATGTGAACTTATTTGGAGATGGGGTCTTTACAGAGGTAACCAAGTTAAAATGAGGTCATTAGGATGGGCTCTGATCCATTGTGACTGGTATCCTTATAAGAAAGGGAAATTTGTCCTTTCTTTTTTTTTTGTCGTGACTGGTAAGGGGATCACAACCCTTGGCTTGGTGTCGTCCGCACCACGCTCAGCCAGTGAGCACACCGGCCATCCCTATATAGGATCCGAACCCGCGGCAGGAGTGCCGCTGCGCTCCCAGCGCCGCACTCTCCCAAGTGCGCCACGGGCTCGGCCCAGAAAGGGAAATTTGGACACAGAGACAGATGCAGAGGAAGATGGCGTGAAGAAAGACAGGACAGGATGCCACCTACAAGCCAAGGACTGAGGCCTGGAGCAGATCCTTTCCTCACAGCCTCCAGAAGGAACCAACCAACCTTGCTGACACCTTGATTTCGAACTTCTGGCCTCCAGAACTGGCAGACGTCTGTTGTTGCAGCCGCCTAGTCTGTCATATGCTGTTTCAGCAGCTCTAGCAATCTAATACAATGAACAGGTGGGGGTTTCCTTTTGGGGTGATGAAAGTGTTTGGGATCTGGATAGAGCTGATGTTTGCACAACACTGTGAATGTACTAGGTACCACTGAATTGTTCCCTTTATAATGGTCAATTTTATGTGAATTTCACCTCAATTAAAACGTTGACTCTGCTCACCGAGGCTAAAATGTTCCATCTTTAGGAAGCCTGTTTCTTTTTTCCTCTTTCACACTAATTTCTTGCAAAGCTCCACCCTAATTTAGTGAAAATACTATGTCCCTGATCACCACCTCCAAACAAACTTGTATGTGAAATGAAGGCTGCAAAATCCGAGGACCCAGAAGGGTTCTGAAGCCTTCCAAGCCTGAGAATTAATCACAGCACTGATGATGATGATGATGATGACGATGACGATGACATAGCATTGCTTTATTGACTGCCCGTTAGCGTAAGGCACCAAGTGAGTGCTTTATACTCATTTCTAATGCTCACGATGATTCAGCCAGGTAGGTAGTGACTGATGAGGATGCCATCTCAGAGACGTTAAAGACGTCCCCCTTGCCACGTAGCTTCTAGCTGGCAAAGTTGTGACTTGAACACCACAGGTCTATACTCTTTCTATTCCACCAACTTTAGCCTTTATGTCTTTGACAGGTAAATTGCTTTACCAAATCTAGGCCTCACTATGATTTAAAAAGGATGAGGATGGGGGCAGAAAGCCACTGCCTCTGAACTTTGCAGTCTCAGGGGATGAGTCACTAATGTCTGATTAAAAGATCAAAGTTGTTTAATCTGTGCTCACATACAGAATACTGGGGAATTGTGCTCTAACTTTATAAAATCTATTGTTGTAATTCCAGAGTTTGGGTAATCATCATGGTAGGCAATCATGATTAGACACGGCTCTGCGCTGCAGGCTGAGCCTCCGCGTAAGCTATCATCAGAACAGCTATCCCAAATAATTATCTCTGTAGTCAAAAAACATCATGGGGCTCCAGATCCTCCCCACTTGCTCTCGGTGCTGTGCATTTGACAGAGGTGCAGAATGCAAGGCAGGTGGGGTTGCATGTGTGTGGAGAAGTCCAGCAGCTTCATTAGTTTATACTTCTGCAAACTGTAGGACCATCAAGTTACCTAGTACAGTTCAACCTCAATCCTTGATTTTAAAAAAGGCAACCCCAAGCCAAAACTTCTGAGCATGGAAAGGGAGTATTAACTGATAGCCAAAAATACCTTCAACATCATCTTTGCCTGAAGAAGTACTGGACCTGAAGTTATAGGCTCAACAGAACTCCAAGCCATGGCTGATTTTCACTTAACCCTCCTCCAACCACCGAGCTTCAGACTTTCTGATGGTCAGCTTCCTATACACCCCCACCCTAAAGGACCCAGAAATGTCACCTTCCTTCCAGTCAATCCCGGTGCCTACCCACCCCCCATCCACTTTCTCTTCCTCCATTAGTCCCAATACCATTTCCAAACATCAAAGATATGAAAAGTGAGAACCACTGCTTTGCTATAAACATTACCAACTCTGGGTGGAGTTATGTCCTGAAGATAGGACTTGAGACCTCAAAGCCACAGGTTGAGAATCTGAATTTATTCTACTTTGGCCTTTGACATCAAAATGGATAGATGCCGCATAACCTAATAAGCACAGACAAACACCCATCCCTCTGATTTAAGGTGAAATCATGAATTTTCCCATCTGTGAAACCTGCCTGATTTCTGTCTGTTTCACTCTGGCTGTGTGGATAGAGGAAAGAGCAGAGGGTGAAAATTTGGCATTCTTGGGAATTGCCCACAGTATTCATATCACTACTAACGTTTTTGCTGAAACTCGTTCTTCCAGCCTTCTCTGCTCTCAGTACATGGACCTCAAAGCACAGTGAAGCAATTGCTTCATGATGCACAAGAAGCCCACTGAAGAGAGTGTCTGAAAGATAAGCCATGCAGGATACAGGCCCATTGCCCACTTCATACCAAGTGGTGTCAAAATTGTAATCACACACAGGGAACGAGATACAATGAGTCCAGACTTTAACAACCTTCTCTAAGAAAGCTAGAGGCTAGAGCTGTCTGTTTTCTGTAATCCCACAGCACAGCTAAGGCACAGGGGCAAATGTTCTGGTCTAGCAGCCAGCAAACTTATGGGCTGGAACCTGATTTTTAAATAAAGTTTTATTGGAACACAGCCATGCACATTCATTCTGTGGCTGCATTCACATTACAACAGAAGATTTGAGCAGTTTTTACAGAGACCACATGGCCCCCAAAGCTTAAAATAGTTTAATATCTGGCCCTTTACAGAACAAGTTTGCTGAATCCTATTCTAGTCCACTGGTACTGGGTCCAGACTGGGCCAGCCTTAGCTGTTTACTGAGACCTGTGCTGTACAGCAGTTACTAGCTAAATATGACTAGTGAGCATTTGAATTGTGGCCTGTGCAATAGAGGGATTGAATTTTTAATTTTCT